GGGCGCCCCCCGGGCCGCGGCCGGCGCCCGGGGCCCGGGACCTGGAGGCGGGGGCGCGCGGCGCGGCGGCGGCGGCACCGGGACCCATGCTGGGGGGCGGCGGCGACGGCGGCGGCCTGAATAATGTGCACCACCACCCCCTGCACCCCCGTCACGAACTGAACATGGCCCATAACGCGAGCACGGCGGCCTCAGCCGCCGCCAGCACTAACAGCGCCAAGAGCGGCGGCTCCGAGGCGGCTCTCAAGGAGGGTGGAAGCGCCGCCGCGCTGTCCTCCTCCTCCTCCGCGGCGGCGGCGTCCTCCTCTTCCTCCTCGTCGGGCCCGGGCTCGGCCATGGAGACGGGGCTGCTCCCCAACCACAAACTGAAAACCGTTGGCGAAGCCCCCGCCGCACCGCCCCACCAGCAGCACCACCACCACCACCATGCCCACCACCACCACCACCATGCCCACCACCTCCACCACCACCACCACGCACTACAGCAGCAGCTAAACCAGTTCCAGCAGCAGCAGCAGCAGCAGCAGCAACAGCAGCAGCAGCAGCAGCAGCAGCAACATCCCATTTCCAACAACAACAGCCTCGGCGGCGCGGGCGGCGGCGCGGCTCAGCCCGGTCCCGACATGGAGCAGCCGCAACATGGAGGCGCCAAGGACAGTGCCGCGGGCAGCCAGGCCGACCCTCCGGGCCAGCCTCTGCTGAGCAAGCCGGGCGACGAGGACGACGCGCCGCCCAAGATGGGGGAGCCGGCGGGCGGCCGGTTCGAGCACCCGGGCCTGGGCGCCCTGGGCGCGCAGCAGCCGCCGGTCGCCGTGCCCGGGGGCGGCGGCGGCGGCGGTGGCGGTGGCGGTGGTGGCGGCGGCGGCGGCGGCGGCGGCGGCGGCCCGGCGGCCGTCTCGGAGTTTAATAATTACTATGGCAGCGCTGCCCCTGCTAGCGGCGGCCCAGGCGGCCGCACTGGGCCTTGCTTTGATCAACATGGCGGACAACAAAGCCCCGGGATGGGGATGATGCACTCCGCCTCAGCCGCCGCCGGAGCCCCGAACAGCATGGACCCCCTGCAGAACTCCCACGAAGGGTACCCCAACAGCCAGTACAACCATTATCCGGGCTACAGCCGGCCCAGCGCGGGCGGCGGCGGCGGCGGCGGCGGCGGCGGAGGAGGAGGAGGAGGAGGCAGCGGAGGAGGAGGAGGAGGAGGAGGAGCAGGAGCGGGAGCTGTGGCGGCGGCGGCCGCGGCGGCGGCAGCAGCAGCAGGAGGCGGCGGCGGCGGCGGCGGCGGCTATGGGGGCTCGTCCTCGGGGTACGGGGTGCTGAGCTCCCCCCGGCAGCAGGGCGGCGGCATGATGATGGGCCCCGGGGGCGGCGGGGCCGCGAGCCTCAGCAAGGCGGCCGCCGGCGCGGCGGCTGGGGGCTTCCAGCGCTTCGCCGGGCAGAACCAGCACCCGTCGGGGGCCACCCCGACCCTCAACCAGCTGCTCACCTCGCCCAGCCCCATGATGAGGAGCTACGGCGGCAGCTACCCCGACTACAGCAGCCCCAGCGCGCCGCCGCCGCCGCCGTCGCAGCCCCAGTCCCAGGCGGCGGCGGCGGCGGCGGGGGCGGCGGCGGGCGGCCAGCAGGCGGCCGCGGGCATGGGCTTGGGCAAGGACATGGGCGCCCAGTACGCCGCTGCCAGCCCGGCCTGGGCGGCCGCGCAACAAAGGAGCCACCCGGCGATGAGCCCCGGCACCCCCGGCCCGACCATGGGCAGATCCCAGGTAACCCCCGCGCCGGTCGGGCCTGCTTCCGCCGCGGCGGCCTCGCCGCGCGCCTCGAGCCCTAGTTTCTTTCTTTCCGCGTACTTTTTCTGCGTCTTCTGCCGGGGGGGAGGCGGGGGCGAGGCGCCCAAAGCCATTTTAACTCGTGGCTGCCTCCCTCGGAGGCTGGGGAGGGCGCGGGGCCCGGGGGCCTGGGGAGAGGGTCGCGCCGAGGGCCGGGACGCGCGCTGGGATGGCCGGCCGCCGAGCACCCCCGCCTCGCCACCCCACCCCGGGCGCGGAGCCGCGCGTCCGGGGCCGGGGACTGCGCCGCGAGGAAGCGGTGTGGGCGCTGGGGACGGCTCGGGCGGCTTTTGTAACAAAATCGGCGCTCCGGGCCGGTACGGGTCTGGGGAGGAATGTTGACTCCGTCTTCTCGGTTAGCGCCAACAATAAGCTTTAACTGGGAAAAGAATGAGGAACTTTGTCCTCCCTCCAGCCACACCGCGTTCCCTCTTAGCCTGCAAGGTGAAGGCAAGAAAGATAGGTTCAGCTTTGTGGCAGCCGAGTGTGTTTTTCGTAGTTTTGCCCGGCTATTCAGATATACTCGATGCGAGCTGTGAGTTGGAATGCTTCGTAGGAAAAATAATACCCCAATTTACAACGACGTGGAGGTAAAATATTCTAAAATAAATCGATTCATTCCTGAGAATAGCCAGGAAATCCATTATTTGGCTTACAGGCTGCTTGAAAGGAGTCACCTTCAACAGATAGACTATGTTAAAGGAACGCGTTCCGGTTAAATTGAACTTATTTTGATCATGGATCAGGCATACATTTTATTCAGCAAGTCCAGGAAAATAGCAGGCCAGTGAAAATTGATCTTTTTGGATCGGATTTATTTGGATTTTCTTTAATTTGCTGTCGCCCAGGTCCTACAGCGTTATTAGGAAGTGTCCTGCACTCTTGCTGTTTCTTGCTCGTAGGCTGAGCCTAAAGACTGACTTGATCTCCTTTGCAAGGTTTGGAATTTGAATTGTGGAGGTAAACTGGCTGTAATAGTCTCCAGACAGCTGCCTCTGAGTTGACATCTAATCTGCCATCTGATTGGCTCCTCTCTCACCATTGGGCATTTAGCACTGCTGATGTAAATAGAAGTGCTGAGCAGTACAGTCACAAAAATTCTTGCCACAAATAATAACTGAGCTCTATTACAAGCAGATGTAAGGTTGAATATTATTTAAAGCTTAAGTTATTATGAATCATAGTTATTAATAAGAGGATTAAATACTAAAATCGTTATGCTGGTGTCCAGTACGGTGGGCATTTACAAAAATCCAGATCTTTGACAATCTTAACGTGGACACTGCATATATCACGGACTTTGATTGTAGGATGAGGATATGGCAATTGAAAATAATTAAACCAAGAATTTTACCAATTTTTGGATTTGTAAGGCTTTTCTGAAAGTGCCCTTTACAGATTAAACTGTGCCAAAAATGAATTGTCAGCCCACGTAGTTTAAAAATTATAACGTTAAAAATTTCCAGGTTCTGAGGTGCAACAGTATCTTCCAGTGATAATTAATTAGCTGTATAACAAGATTAAAGCTATATTTTTTTAGTAACATGTGTTTTAACAATTCTAGTCGTTTAAAGATGTTTGTGGATGAGGAATTGTAGTTAAATTGACGTATTATTTAAAAAATCGCGAAGTGAGGAAACTAATTTTGTAGACAACAGTCAAAGGGAAAAAATGGATAACCTTGTGAAATACTAAAAATTATTTTATTTTTGCTTCTGATTTGGAAATACAGAAATGCTCTAGGAATTTTTTTTTTCTGTTTGATGATTTTGTTAGGTTCAGTGATGTGAGCCTTCTTTGAAGTGCTTACACATGTATTAAGGAAACTATCACATGCAAGGCTGTGCTTCTTCCAAATAATCTTTCTCTCGTAGACATCTTAAATGCTGTGAAAGTTTTTAAAATTCTAATTTGTTAGAAAGGAATTAACAGTGGTTGTAATATATGTTTTTACTCAGCTTATTTATTTTAGGAAGATGTATTTTAATAATTACCATATCTTAGAGGAGAGACGTGTGAGAATGAATACAGGACTGAATTTAACAGATAATCCTGTGAATCCCTAGCTGAGGACATTAGTGTCCACTGCTTTCAAATCTGTAGTTACTGGAGTTTTACTTTTAATGAAAATATATTTTCCTACTCTTGATAGAAAATAATGTGATTTCAGTTTTTATCTTTGATTCACACAAGTAAAAACACAGAGAAGTCTTGTGTAAATAAACCCATGTAATTAATTTTAAAAAGATTTACTTTGTCAGCTTGCTTTTAAAGGGATAGTTTAAAATTCACATCTTTGTTAAACTAGAATGGAAGGATGATAGAGGCAGATGGAGGTCCTTGTTACTTTACAGTATTATTTCTTAATGGTACCAATCATTTTAAGTATTTTGTTTTCTTGGAATGAGAGTGAATCCATTATGTCCTCATTGTGACCCTTGGGAATAGCTTTTTTATTTTTGAGGGGGAAGAAAAATGCTGGGCATATGACCTAGATTCACAGATTTCTTTTGGGTACTTTGCCGTTTAACGTGTGGAATGTATCTTTTTTATAATTTTTCCTTTTTGGAAGGCTGGTTTTTATTTAGTATTTGTTATGATGATTATGATAAGAAATAGGTATTTGTCCAAAATTCTAATATACTGTGTAATTATAGGCCATAAAGTACTATTAAATCACGTTGTTAAATGATGAAATTTTCTTGTGGCTTTAGCATATTTAGTTTCATTTTTGATTTTAGGAATGGTTTATATTGGGTGGCAAATGTTTTTATAATTGGAAACAAAATATATGTGTATATTGTATTGGGGGGTCTTTTTAAAAAGTGAAATAAGCCATTTTATGATACAGTTTGTTACTGGCTTTTTCTAAGATAAAGTAGAGTAGTCTCAAAAGGAGTACTGAGGTCTACTCACGTAACCAAGATTTTACAATGTCCACATTTGTGCTGAATTCCATTAATCCTATTTTTACCTTAGTTTTATAGAATATAATACAATGTAATAAAAAGAGCCTTATTTACCATTAAAAGAAGTGACTAGCTGGTTTACAAAGCAGGAAGTTACAGACTGGTTCCTGATTACCTTAAAATTTGTATAAGATACATTATAGCATAACATCATTCTCCACTTCCCCCCCAATGAAATTTTACCCTATCTCATGTTTTAAATCTTGTAAAGAAATTATTGTGCCCTAAACTGATATATTTGCTGAGATATGGCTGGCTGGCCGGCTGCTCTGTCGTCAGAGAAGGTGGAATGGGCAACTGTGGTTATAGAAAAGGCCTATCATTAAAAAAAAAAAACAACAACAAAACAAAAGCAAAGAAAATATAACAAAAATGTTTAGAGTCTTCTGCTTTCCTAGGTTACCTGGAATGAAATACATGGCTTAAGATTGTTTTCTTTGGATATCCTCATTTCTGTGTACTTACTTTTGACTTTTTTTTTTAAAGATCACTACTCTTTAAGACAGCTATCACTTCAGTTTATGTTTATATTTAAACACAAAATTGATAAGTATGTTCCAGGGAACATCATATTCTCACCTTGGGCCTATAGTGAGAAACCTTAAACCCCTTTTTTCTTTGGTTTTGCTTTTTATCTATATTTAGGAATGAATTTTTGGCAGCGCTTTTTCTCCTTGTTCCATTTTTCCCGGCATCATATTGTATCAGAAATATCACAAGTGTGTTGTGGAGATGGAAATAATCCAAGTCACCCTTAGACACTTACACTAATGTACTTTCCCTCTAACTATCATGTTCTTTCATTAGGATTGAGAGAATAACATCTTCACTCTGGTATAAAAATAGTATTAGTTCTGGTTTGAGGACCAATTCTGAAAATGTAAGACTGTGTGGAGGAAGACTCATAAGTTCATTTGGTAATTTTATCAGACACACATTTTAAAACAGGTGTAAGAGAATGGGGTTGAGTTTTCAGTTCCATTTCTTATTAACGGACTTTATTATTTTATAATTTGGGGCACAGTATATCTTTAAAAAACGGCTTCTGATATAATAGGAACTTACTTATTTCTGTAGGATAAATACCAATATGACAGGCAAACTGAAAAGATGATCGTTTTGCTTACTTATACCCTGTTCTCTCATAAGAAGAGAGTGGTTTGATTTAAAATTTGTTAGGAGTCTCTGAAATTTTATTTATTTTGAAGACTGATTTGGACATGTAAATTTTGGATGTAATGCACTGGGAACTATACCAGCTTTTGCCCAGTGCCCTAAATTTAGAGGTTTTTCTCACTACAAGAATGACACTACTCAGTTAAAGGATCTGTGTACTTTGATCCATCATTGAGGAAAAGGAGCTAATAATTCACTTGTGTCACTTTCATTTTGGCCCATGTGTAGATTTGTAAATTTGAGGCTTATATTTATATTTGAAAGAGCTGTTGTGTATCACTTAAGAACAGATTTATGGAGGCTCACAAGGAATGTTAATAAAACTCAAATTCCTTTTTTTTTTTTAAGCAGTAATTAGATTTTCAAAATGCATGTTACAAAATTTTGTACTTACCGGCCACTGCCACGTCCTAGGCCTCTTTAGAACTGGATAGTAGTTGGTCTCTCTGGCCTTTTCTGAGGTGTTTTTCTTCATCAGGAGATGTGTGCAGATTCTCTGTGGATATGTAGAGTAGAGCCACGTACTTGCTGTGTGCGTGCGTGCGTGTGTGCGTGCGCATGTGCTTGAACCTGAGGGATCCCTATTTGACTTCTCCATGTGTCTGCGGGGAGAAGTAAGTACCAGGCACAACTGCTTATCCCCCAGGGATGTGTATATATATATCATAGATGTAGAACTGTCACACAATATAGCTTTTTACAGTTTTGAGGCTATTTATACAAGACTAAGTGGCTCTTTTTGGTTTAATTGGGTGATTGAGTGAATTAATTTTGATCTAAAAACTTTGTATA